CTGTGGCGGCCATCTCAGCTGAATCGACGACGACGACAGCTGTTTTGTTTGTGTGAAGTGAGGAGAGAAGAGAAGAGGAAAAGAAAGGAAAGGAGAGGAGATTCCCCTGTGAATACCCTCTGCTGTTGAAGCAACAGGAAAAAAAGTAGTTGGTGATATATCAAAACAAAGCGGATTGTTTGGCGACGAAACGAGTGGGGGATCCAGGAACCGAAACAGATCAGCAGTGAGCCTTTCTACATTTCGTTATCGTCTTCATCCTCATCAAAGTCTCGCTGCTGATTACTTCGTGGCGCTTCCTCATCTCTGCTGAAGACTTTGTAAACACTTCTTCATCATTATCATCAGCGGTAGATAACCCTTCTCTATCTTTGATTACGAGTAGACTGTTTACTAACGCTCTTTCTTTCTTTCTTTCTTTTTGTAGAACTTTTCTTCTCTGAACTGAACACTTGCCATTTCGAAACACGTCGTCCACTTTTCTCCTTATTCTTTGGTTTACTCGTTCAACAATTTTTTCTACTTCTGATTCTACTACTTCTTGATTATATCTTCACCATTATCATCACTCTCATTATCACCACATTCATTACACCTTCACCATCAATCAAAATGAACCACTATCAACTGACCGGGCAGTATCAGCCGCAGCAGCAGACATCATCAGACGGCCAACAACAACAACAAACACAACAACAGCAGACGGCCAACGTTCAGCAGTTTGTCATTGGCCTGAACGGCGGCTACCACCAACAACAGCAGCAGGCCACTGCCTATGATCACCAACAGCAACAGACCGGAAGTCTTGAAGACGGCTCAACGGCTTCGCTGCCCGGCGGAATTCAAGTCCAGAGCGCCGATGGCAGCTACACCGTCTACCAACTGCAGTACGATCCTAGCCAGGGAAATCAGCAAGTCTACGACCCCTCGACCGCCACCACCATCAACATGAGCGACTGGAAAACTCTTAACGATCAGCAAACTCAACAACAGCAACAAAATCAACNGATCCTAGCCAGGGAAATCAGCAAGTCTACGACCCCTCGACCGCCACCACCATCAACATGAGCGACTGGAAAACTCTTAACGATCAGCAAACTCAACAACAGCAACAAAATCAACAGAATCAGCAGCAGACGATTCAACTTCAGTGGGCAGCTGCTCCTCAGCAGCAGGCTCAGCAGCAGCAGCAGATGTACCAACTTTCGGGAAATGTTGTACAGCAGCAGCAGCAGAATCCTCAGCAGCAGCAAATGGAAGCGACGACCACGATGTACCAGCTGCAGACGAATGCAAACGGGACCACGCAGCTGGTTCCCTACCACCACCACCAGCAACAACAACTTCAGGCCCAGCAGAATCAGCAGCAGACGATTCAACTTCAGTGGGCAGCTGCTCCTCAGCAGCAGGCTCAGCAGCAGCAGCAAATGGAAGCGACGACCACGATGTACCAGCTGCAGACGAATGCAAACGGGACCACGCAGCTGGTTCCCTACCACCACCACCAGCAACAACAACTTCAGGCCCAGCAGAATCAACAGCAGCAGCTCCAACAGCAACAAAATGGCGGTCAACAGGGCCTGAACGTGATCACCGTCAGTCCCTTTCAGCAGCAGCAGCTGCAGCAAAAGTTGCTTCAACAACAACAATCTCAACAACATCCTCAACAGCATCAGCAGATTCATCTTCAAATTCAGCCTCAGCAGCAAAACACACCACAACAACCTCCGCCGCCTCAGGCTTCTCCAGCAGCCGCCCCCACACCGGCAAAGAAGCCGGCGAAGAGCCGCTCCAAGGCGACCACCAACAAAGATGGGACGCCGAAGATTCCGAAGCCGGTCAGCGCCTACGCGCTCTTCTTTCGTGATACCCAGCCGCAGATCAAGGTGGACCATCCCTCGGCGAGCTTCGGCGAGATCAGCAAGATCGTCGCCGGGAAGTGGGAGGTGCTGAAGAAGGAGGAGAAGGACGTGTACAAGGAGCGGGCTGACGGGGAGAAGCGGGATTATCTGCAGAAGTTGGCCGCCAGCAAGGCGAAGGAGGTGGCTGATCAGCAGGCGGCGGCTGCTCAACAACAAAGTTCTCAGGTTGTTGTACAGGCTACGCCCACTGTTGTACAGCAGCAGCAGCAGCAGAAGCCTCAACAAGTGAAAATTGTGGCGCAAATTCAGCAGCAGCAGCAGAATTTGCAGAATCCTCAGCAGCAGCAAAATCCCTCGAACCTTATCCTCCAGCAGAACATATCTTCGTTGCAGCAGCAGCAGCAACTTCAACAGCAACAGAATCTGCAACAGCAAAATCTGCAACAGCAAACTCAACAGATTCAGCAGCAGCAGCAGCAACAACATCCTCAAACTTCGTTTCAGCAGAATATTCAGTCCCAGCAGCAGCAGCAGCAGAATTATATGATGGTCTCGCAGCAGCAGCAGCAGCAGCCCCAACAATCTCAACAACAGCCTCAACAACAGCCTCAGCAGCAACACCGTCACCCCGCCATGGCCACCAACTCCAATCCGATGCTGCTGGTAAATCCCATCACCCAGCAGGCTTTCGGGGATGATGGCAGTGGTCTTAATTATCAGCAGCAGCAGTATCACCATCAGCAGCAGATGAGGAATCCTCAGCAAGAGATGGTCACCTCAACTTTGACCTCGGTTTCAGCTTTTGATCCTTTTGGTGGGTCGAACTTGATGGTCTCCTCTTCAGCTGTTTTAGGAGCCAACACCACCGTGACCTCCTCTTCGATGGGAGTTGCCTCGACGAGCTCTAGTAGCATTGGTGGTCACGACGATCACCATCTCCACGACCCGCTGGAGCTCGGCTCTCTGACGGCGGACATGGTCGACGACACCGACGTCTTCTTCGACGACGGCATCGGCCTGGACCTGAACTTTGATGATAACCTGCTGCTGGGTGGGTCGATTGACTATCTGAGTGACCTGCATCCTCTGGTAGGAAACGATGAAAGCGGAAGTGGCAGTGGTGATGGCCTGTTTGGAAGTTCGTCCACTTCCGGCGCTGCTGATGCTTCGAGCTCTCTTGGAGGTGGTGGTGGTGGTGGGGGTGACATTCAAGCTCAATATTCACTGATCAGCACCTCCTCTTCAAGTGATCACCACCTTCAGCACCTTCAACAGCAGCCTTATCATCATCATCATCATCAGCAGCAGCAGCACTTTCAAGCGCCTTCCACCTCCATCACCCAAAATGAGCTTAGCACGTCATCTTCAACTTCAACGTCTTCAGCCGTGTCCACCACTTTGAGTAGTATTACCAACATCACCCCCTCCTCCTCCTCCTCTTTGACCTCATCAACATCATTTGATCATCATCATCAGGGAAGAGGTGCTAATGAGGTGATGATTGATGGTGGTAATCACCACCCGGGGGCTACTTCTTCCTCTTCATCAGTAACCGGTTCAGTTGCTCAGACTGACGATCCTCAAAATGTTGCCCAGGTGAATGCTAATCAGAAGGAGGCTAATCAGATTCAAACTAAATCGCTGAATAATCATCATCAGCAGCAGCAGCAGCAAAACAACAACAACCAAAACAAAAGCCTTCCGCTCAGTGGTCAGACGTGCATTCGAGCCGGCTGTGGAAAGCCCGCCGTCCAGCACGCCCAATGGGAGGGCGAGTTCTGCTCGGAGGCGTGCTGCGTCGCCTACGCCGGGGACGTCTTCAATGGATGGACCAGCGCGCGGAAGGCGGAGAGGACGGCTGCTGCTAATGCTGCTGCTGCGGGAGTTTCAGGAACTCCCGAGAACTCCACCGCTGCTGCTGAAACTTCGACCTCAAATTCGACGACCACGACTGAAACCTCCTTGGCTGAATCAAACAGCAATCAAACCTCGGAATTAAAGACTGAAAAGGCGGAGGAAGCTTTGGTGAAGGACGAGGCCTTTATGGGCGGCGAGAACTTGCCGGAAGACGACGTCATTTCCTCCACTGCTCCCTCTGCCTCTGCTTCATCTGCCACTACCACCACGGAGGTGTACACCATCTCCTGAAGTGACGAGGATGATGATAACAACTTCTTTTGAAAAAATACACTTTTGATCTTGATCCTCTCTCTCCCTCTTTTGATGCAACTCAAGTACAAATACTACTTTTACTTTTAATACTAATTACACTAATTAAACTCTCTTTTTCTCTTTGGAGCTGCCCCACCCCTCCCATCTTATCGGTCTGATTTCTTTTTTTCACTTTTCTTTACTTTACTCTCTTGTGTACTTTCTTTTCTTTTCTCTTCACCTCACCACACTTTTCTATCACGATTATTTATACCCTTTCTTTTTCTCCTTTTCTTTAGTTTTTTCACACTCACGCCCCACAAAGTCGTCTCCTCCTCCCTTGTAATGTTCCTCAGTATCACCCTCTCCTATTACCACCACCACCAACACACACTTTCTGGGCATTAATATAATTTGATGATAATTTCTCTTCTTTTGTATTTTGATTACACACCCACACAGCACTGCAAAATAATTCATCTCTTTTGCACCATTTTTCATCGATTCTCTCCTTTCCTCATTTCACGCTCATCACATTTACTCACTGAATAACTTCTTCTTGGTTCATTCTTCTTC